TTGCCTCTGAGCAGCTGATCAAGCAGATCCCTCGTCTACTTGGTCCCGGTCTCTCCAAGGCCGGAAAGTTCCCCACCCCCGTCTCCCACGCCGAGGACCTCGCAAACAAGGTCAACGATGTCAAGAGCACCATCAAGTTCCAGCTCAAGAAGGTCCTGTGTCTTGGTGTCGCCGTCGGAAACGTCAGTATGACCGAGGACCAGCTGATCGGTAACATCATGTTGGCTATCAACTACCTCGTCTCCTTGTTGAAGAAGGGCTGGCAGAACGTGGGATCCTTGACTATCGTACGTTTCCCCCTGTTTGTCCCGTGAAATGGGGATAAGATCGCTAATACCCCAATAGAAGGCTTCCATGTCGCCCCCTAAGCGCCTTTACTAGATGCTCTGTGTGTTTGGGTTTTCTTCGGTGTTTAGGGTCTGGGTAACGTGATGAGGGTTTTCGGTTTGCCTTGTCGTGTATATTTCGGGTTCTTCTCCGGCGCGGATGCAAATATAAATGCAAAAAGTAAAAACATGGGATTTTTTTCACTGGTTGAATATGGCCCGATGAGTGATTTATAATGATCAATCCGCGAGGACTGTATTCCCGTCCACTTTTTCAATACAAGATCGCAGTCCAGGCAAACACAAAACATCATTCAATTGCAGTTTCGACATTGTTCCATGCAAGAATTTGCGATCGTGATGTATTGCTTCACAATCTGAGCCCGGAAACAATGCAATGGATATTGCGCTCCCACGAGTCCCTAATTTAACAAACGCTATAATAAAGAGATATTTACAATGGGTTTAGATATCAGAACGCCGGTCATATAGATAGATTAATCCACTAAAACCTCAGCTGGCAACGGCACCTCCGCATCCTTGCGTCGTCCGAATGCGTCATGTTCAATCAACTCCTTCTCAGGTCCTTCTCAAGATCAAAAAGTAGTGTCAGCTTGCCAGTCTCCAACTCCTTCCTCACAATCTCTGATATCGTCGGCCATTTCTCGCGCGTACCCGCTTCGGCATCAAATGGGTACAATCAGCGATTCTTGTTCTTGATATGGTCGGGGTCAATCCTTACCAGTTGTCTCAACATGTTGTGCCATCTATCTCGTACATCCTCTCCATTGAGCTGTGCCTGCCGTACCTAGGGCCGATAAACTTTCCCGGTGAGTTTTAAGTAGAGAGCCAGTACTCAGTAGCTTCAGAAGCGCCCTGTGCAGATGAGTCACCAAGGAGTGCGATAGTGGACGACGATGATACCCATGTGGGAATCGGATCACGGTAGCATATCTTCCAGTCCAGGCAGGATGACGTCTCGTTGACGGTTGATACTATTTACGGATCCCAATCCGCGACCAGTGCTTTGACGTCTTCCATGTTACCGGGCTGGAATCAGGACTCGGCGATATCGGCCGTGTCTTTATGGGTCAGGATCCAGTTTGAATTCTTCGCCGTCTCGCAGGGTGTTTTGGACTAGGTGCATGTCGTGGCTGTAGTTACTGCCAATTCCCCCGCCCTCCGTACAGTTCCGCCCCACCATCGCTGAAGATTGTGGCCCGAGGTATATTGCGACGTCCCCGCCGAATACATCTACATGGTAGAGATACGATGAGGTGTGTATGTAGGGAAGTTTCTTGACCTGATGTGCCACTATCATACAGTGATCTCCTGATTGTGGAAGCCGCCTGCGTGCGAACCTTATATTTTGCAGGACTAAATCCTAACAAAGGCTCACCTAACCATACTGCAATCGTTGGTTTATGTACCGATCTGCTCAGATTTAGGCTTGTCACTGTACCCACAAACCCGGATGCACAATGCACCTAAATACTCTAGACTGCCCATATTCCCTTGTGGCTAGTTTGCACTACAAAATAAATAGTATGGTTGAAGACGTTCTTTATATTCAGCGCTAATAGCTCAGTTGGGAGAGCGTCAGACTGAAGTCAAGTAATAACTCGGGGTAATCTGAAGGTCACCCGTTCAATCCGGGTTTGGCGCATTTCTTTTGCTATAATCTCGTAGAATCTACTTTTGCTGTTCGTGCAGGGCTGGTTGTTTGGTTGTTCCGTCTCGTTTCTATAGTGCCCCAGATTCAATATTTTCGTAGTGAGGAAATCTCGGATCACGTTTACACGCAGTGGGAACTCCATCTACCCGTACCGCGCTCAGACGCTATCCCATACCCCATACTTTAGCTATTTAGTACCTCCACGAGCTAGGACTGCTAGATAAGCCCTTACTCTAGCGCGTCAGTCATAATGTTGCCAGCTGCCGTTAACATACATCCGACATCCTCGTCAATCTCACCACGAGCGAGGCCGAGCAAGCGGCTTTGTACATGGAATACGCGGATGTGCTGCAGATTCTGGATTCTGTTGTAGGCTCTCTGCATCAAAGTAGAATTAACTCCTAGCCCACGATCTTTGGTGGTTTGGGCTTCAAGATTGAAAGCTTACGGTGATTTGAGGGCCGTGCCAATGTGATATGTATCTATCAGGGTCTTTTAATTGACCATAGTTAGTTTAGTTTCTTCTGGGTCTAAGGCCGCGTGCTCCACAGGTATTGTAGTTGCAATTGAGTGTTAAAGACTTTTTGCAAGTAAGTACAGTCTGAGGCATGATTTGCAATCCAATTGCTATGGTGGGGATTCCAGGCGGAGTCAGCAGCTCCGTCGGGACTACTTTTTTGACTCGTGATTCTTGGACCATTTGCCTGGACCTTGGGTTCTTGTGGCGTCAATCTACATGCATAAGCTCCAAATCCCATTCGTTGATCCTCAAAAAATTGGGGAAAGGCGCCGCTAACTGTAAGTTAAGCGATTGCTATGTCTAGACCTCCATATGGGGAATCCCTGTGTTTGTCCTAGGTTTTGCAACGACAATGTTGTATATAAAGACTCCCTTACTGCTCAAGAATACTTGACTGTTCAGGAAGTGTCAACACCAGCCAGTCCGCTCGCGATTCTCGCATACTATACTTCTCCTCGTAAAAACAAATAATGACAGACCCTAACTCCAGCAAGGAAATGACAATCAACCATGCCGAAGATGTGCTGGGGGAGAATGGGGCAATGATTCTTGACACCGAGGATGCGGGGGATAAGGGTGCAGTTACCGGGTTAAAGCTGGCAAAGGATGGTCAGGTAAATTTGAAACTGCTACTATGGAAAACTTGTGTTAATGGGAATATAGACTGTGCTGCAACCTCAGCCTATCAATGACCCAAATGACCCCTTGAATTGGTCCAGCTTCAAAAAACGTGTATGTGCCTACGTCCCACTTGCGCTGACCGTACCTCTGACTGGAACAGATGATTATGTACATTGTAGCACTCTGCATTTACTGGTGATTTTGGAGCGGGGCTGATATCCCGTGTATCGTGCCACAGGGCAAGGAATGGAATATGCATCTAATCTTGTTAACCATTCTGGAAACTTGAATATTATCTTCTTGTACGGTTCACTTCGATTTCCAGTTACTAGCCTTATTTCAGGGGAATCGGTGGACTCTTTTGGATTACCTTCGTCTATTCTGGGGGAGAGCGCCAGTGCTGCTCTAGACCACTCTTTCCGGCGCTCTGTTCACCCTCGGGTGCACGTTCACAGCGGATTTCACAACATTTTACGGCCTGCGAGCAATGATGGGATTCGCTCTAACCAGTACGTGAAACTTCTCCCTTCACCTCGTGTTTTCCCAGCTAATTGAACACAGCTTGTCAAACTATTGGTTTAAGTTTCATAAAGGATATGTTTTTCTTCCACGAGCGAGTGTTCTTCAACACAAGATACCGGATTATACTAAACATCTACCAAGAATGCTCGAAAAATTGGGATTTGGGCTTCCATTTTCCTTTCCGCCCCCTACTGCGGTCCGCTATTCGGAAAATTCATCATTGCGCGCACCGGAGAATGGCGTTGTGTATTCTGGCTCGTCTTCGCCGTGTGTTGTATCGACCTTGTCTTCATCGTCCTCTTCGCCGACGAAACATGGTAAAACAACCACACGCTCCGAGTCCAACACCCACGTGGATCTAGAATGATGCGTGTCCTCCGCATCTGGCAGATCCAGAACCACAACGGAAACCTCTTGTCAGTCTCCCGCTCTGTATCTCGACTCATCGAGACGCTGTTCAAGCCCGTTGTCATCCCGACGGTGCTCTACTACATCATGCCATTCATGTGGGCCGTTGGGATCAACATCACTACATTCATCCTCTTTGAAACCCCCAAGGAGATGGGCGGTTACGGCTTCTCGAGCATGGCAGTGGGGATTCCTATACTTCACGTCCGTGGTGTTGGTGGCTACGACCGCATATCTCTGGATTAATTTAATAGCGCTTCCGATGAGGTCGCCAGATGGCTGAACTTTGCTGGAGTTGTTGGTGGGTTTTCGGTGGGATACTTTCAGATGCTGAAGGTCGGGTATGATAGGAGTTTTGGAACATAGGCAGCTGTGGTGAGTGCGGCGTTGATTGTGTTGGTGGCTAGGACTGGATATGAGGGCGAAAGGAGGGGCTATGAGCTTTAATTAGAGATGTGAACTTCGGAGAGGCTGTTCTGTAAGATTGATGTATTTCATTTTCATTCATCGTTTTCATGTTGCAACGTTGGTTATTTGCTTTCTTTTCTTTTGATGAGTGATATAATGTGACGATACTTTGCATACATCTGCTCGGGATCCCAAAAAGTTTGAGATTTGCTTGGTATGAAGTTTATCCACATCAGAATTGTTGCCTCAACAATGCAGTGGCAAAGCTATTTTTGAGCATGGCCCCTCCGGATATTGGGAGGTGAAGCCGGGAACATTGACTCCATTGTTCCATGCAATCTATATGTATCTGATTGTAGTTAAAATTATCGTTTGCGAGCTGCCTTTGAACCACACCAACACGGGGAGATACAGTATAACGGGAGTGCAAGCTTTCGAATCTATAAAAACTATGGTAGACAGGTCAAAAAGAAATCACTTTAATAAATCTCGCCGAACTGGACAAGAAAACAAAAGTTTATGCGCCAAACCCGGATTGAACGGGTGACCTTCAGATTACCCCGAGTTATTACTTGACTTCAGTCTGACGCTCTCCCAACTGAGCTATTAGCGCTGAATATGAAGGTCTACTCATCATGCCATCTCTGAAACATTGTTTAAGTTGTCTTGCGGTAATGTCAGCGTTATTATATTCCATATCACCAGCAGAAGCAGATTCAACCATTGGAACAAGTAGAAACCAAAAAGAACATGGTATCCATCATAAATCCTTTACAACTTTCTAAATAAAGCGTTGAACGATAGCCTCAAGTCTAGACAGAACGAGAAATTGTCAGACACAGATATCCCCACCCTAGTCTTAGAAAGATAACCGTAGATATATATGCACGCGCTCAGCTGGAAATGCCATCCTCATACCTTCACTATCAAGTAGTCTGTCTGAAGGCGGCTACAGTATCTTAAGCGCTAGTCTCGTTTCAATGCTGGGATCAACTCTAACTGAGACAAAGTAAGCGCTAGCGCCGCGGCCAATAGCACCATTGCCACTTCAGTCGCAAAATTCTTTGAACGCTGTCACCGACTTCGTAGTTCTACTTTTCAGAACGAATTCTAGGTACATAAGTATATACTTAAATAGCTAAACCTAAGCCTCTTTTGGAGTTCCTTATTCTCCCCAAAGCTCTCGCACTGAGTACATTAATAAGAGCCGAAGAGCTTTCTATAGAAGCCAATGCCGGTATACGATATTAAGAAGTTATTTGAGTTGACAGGTATCACATTAATCCTTTATAAGCCATGTAGCTGCATTCCGGGTCTCGTAAATGACTCAACTCAATTAAAAGTTCATCCGCACGCAGCTTGAGAAGACTGCTATACCTCCAATCCAGCTTAGAGTAAGCAAGCTATACACCACAAACCGACTCCAGAGATCCTTCTTGCTTCAGTAGAAACGGGTCAAAAGCTGCTTACAAACCGATGCGTTATTCCATATAACTATATAAACCATTCATTCATTTTTGTATGCTTCAGCACCAGAAGGTTGCTTTAATCTTCTCCGTCTAATTCGACTGGGGTTTTTTTATTATTGCAAGGAAATATCAGCTAGCTCAGCGGTTAGGTTCTGTAAAGATGGCCCCCACGGGCATGCAGAATGCAAGTTTCTTTTCAGTCACCTTCCTGTCTTTATTTGGAGATATTTATATTGTGGGCAGGGATGTTCAGTTACTGTGAGTTTTGCGCTGATTATTGCAAGACCATCTCTCATCGACCACCCACATCTTGAGTGGGTCATTTTAAACAAGAGATTCAAGAACTTCACATATACCACGATATCCTCAAAGCTTACAGGTCACGTCTGCTTCACCGATGGCTGCAGGTGGTTGAAAGACGACTTGGTCCTTGGGATAAGGTGAAGGTTAGGGAGCAGAAGTTTGATCTCTAGACTAAGAAGCATTGTGGGGCAGGTGGATGGTTGGCCTAGATGTAGAAGCAAGGGATGACTATGCAGTGCAGCATTTGTGCTATAGTATTGTGACCTCCCGCGATATTGAGGCTACTGGTAGGTGAAAGAAGGGGTTCTAGGGGTGAGTAGAATGCAGAGGAAGTCAATGGTCTGAAATTTTTAGTGTTTAATCTCTTCTTATCTCTTAGGGCTTTATGGTTGAGGGAGAACGACTGTAAATATAGCTGTCGTCGGAAAATAGACCCCTAGAGTTTCTCTAATGCTTCTCTGTGCTCGCCAACCATCCGTCAGTAACTTCGCAAGCTCAGTCGTTTTCTCCCGAGAGCTTGCGGTCATCGTTGTATGGCTCCGTAGCCCGTATAGTTTCACAAACCGTCCTAGCTATGATGGTCGATGTCAGTGTCTGTCATATGTAAAAACATACAAGACCCACCTGATCTGAAGGTACAAGCCTCCGTTTCTTCCGGCTCTGAGAAACATCACTGGCATCGCCGGTGGAGCCCTAGACTTGTCAGGATTAATCGGCACACGATATTCAGGTTCAAGTTTGTACATACAAATACGGACAGCCACGGATAATCCGCATAACTTCTATTACGGCATCTGTATCCTGCATGATGGCATTTCTCGGTGCATTTCCTGCGGCTGTTTACGCATGGGCATCGGATGGTATAGCACATTGTTTTGCAGCGGCAAAATGCATCCTTGATACCGTTAGCAATTACAGGCGAAAGTCTGTCTTTCAGTCTGTCTAGCACTCACCTCGGTTTCGGGTCTCGTGGGGCGCTTGATGGAGGTGCATTCAGTAATGAGCTGCTACTGGCCATGGGAACAGCGGGGGTGTTTGTGAGCGGAGATCGAACTTCATCTTGTATTGACTTCCTCTTAGTACCACTGCTGGGAACGACAGGGGTATTTGGAGGTTGAGATCGGACTTCATCTCGTATTGACTTCCTCTTGGTACCGCTTCTGCTACTAGGGGTGGATTTTGATAGTGTTTTGTTGATGCTTCCCACCGGCGGCGTCTTTAATTCCTCTTTCCTCGCATTCCCACTTCTCTCTTGTAGCGGTCTAGGCAATCAGCATGACGGGAAAGCCATGAAAATGAGAAATGATACTCACCGGCACATCCAAAGCATCGTCCCCACCGGGTGGCCGCGCCCAAGAGGTCCTACTATCTGCACGTCGAGCCACCTTCTCGATAAAAACCAGATTACTTTTCATCTGCTCGTCCAACACTGGTTTAAACTTCTCTCTCTATCTCCAATCTTTCATTCTCGGCCCTCATATACTCAACTCACTCGATCCTGGGGCCAGGGGTACCATGGCACTTCTTAAGTGGACGATATCCGTTTTCAGCCCCCCATTCTCAGCTCTGAGTTTTTAACTTCCCTTTCCATATCTCTCTTCACCTCCACATTCTTCTCAATTTCCCCTTCCAACCACAAGTTCTTTCGTTCTCAAGTCTTCATTCTCAGCCTGGAGACTCAAACCCACCGTGAATATCGCATCTTCTAACTTTGTATTTTCACGTTTCAGTTTTTTGATTTCAGCTTTTGGCTGTTTATCCTCCGGGTCGTGGGACTCGGTGATGTTATGGCGGCGGTAGAGGATCTCGTAGATTTCGCGGGATGTACGGTCGGGCCCGAAGAGCCTGGTTGCTGGGGAGTGGCTAGGGACTGGAAGGAGGGGGGAAGTTTGACATGGGTGAAGATTTGGCGCGTTGGGAAGATGCGTACTGGGGATGGCGATGGGCTAGCTATGTGTGGACTAGTTCTTGGGGCCCAGAGGGGATATCCGTGCATAGGGTGGCCTGGGCTATCCGCGGATGGGGTGGTTTCCAGAGGGGACGACGGGTAGCAGGTGCGGAGCTTCGCCATCTAGCCGGCCTGCCCGGAGGCGGAGGGGATCAGGGTTCTGTCATACTCTAGATAGAGTGAATACAGTATGATTAAAACAAAAAAAACGGGGTGATTTCTAAGGATGTTTGCTACAGTGTCAGTTCCAGTGACTATATACCATCCAAAGAACCCGGAAGATATGAATGTCCTTCTAAAGTATAGAGCAGTTTGATACATGAACTTGTAATCAGGCAATCCGTCAATGGACTGCCAAAAATCCATATGTCATCAAGGATCTTGCGAAACTCCAATCGCTCTGTGTCAAACACCGGAGTTTGAAAACAATGATCCAAGGCATGAGGTGATGCGTTTCAACCAAGCTCTATGGCTCAGTTGCTTACTCTACGGTAGTAGTGCATCGCTGCCATTCAGATAATCATGAACTGTCACACGGATATAATTTGAGACAGTTTTACACACGATATTGCTAAGCCCAGGGGACAATTCATGGCGCCTGTTCAAGCCGCCTTAGTATTCCACACACATCCTGAACTAAAGACTGTTAAAATGTTGTTTCTTTGAATGGAGGTGGTCAACAGTGATAAAGGCAATGCAAGGGCCTGGATAAGTACTCAAATTTATCGCGAAACACTGTCTGTCTAAAAGGTTATTCCAAGGGCCACCAGCGATAAAAGCCAGTTGACAGAACTACCCAAGCACAGATTCAACTTTCGTGACCTTCCAAACCCTGCGTATACTTACCCGGCCTCTCCCCATCCTCGCAGTCACGCACCCACATCAATTCCCCACCCACACTAACTTTTATTTTTTCGTCATCCAATCGCCAAACGAGCATACCCATCGACAAACAGCATCGTGCAGGTTAACCACTACTTTGCATCCACCCCCCGCTACTCACTCCTAAAAACAACACCCGTTATCGGTACAATGGCACCCATCGTACGTCCCCCTATGCTTTGCTGGTCGGGCGAGAAATTCTTCTCTGCCCCCGAATGATCAGTAGGCAGAATGGCTGAGAATATCCGTTTTTCGGGGAAATAGAAGACTACAAAAGGTGGAAAGAAGGAGAAGATCACGCACAAGGTCAGTTGTTAACCACCGGAGGAGGTGGAGGTGGGTGGATGGGGGTTAACAAAGAAAATAGTTCGTGATCGACGCATCCCAGCCCGCCTCCGACAAGATCTTCGACGTCGCCGCATTCGAGAAGTTCCTCCACGACAAGATCAAGGTCGAGAAACGTACCGGTAACCTTGGAGATATCGTCCAGATCTCGCAGGAGGGTGAGGGAAAGATTGTGGTTGTTGCGCACACACAGTTCTCGGGACGCTACTTGAAGTATCTGTATGTTATACCTGCTTGCGATTGAGCGGGGGATGCTAATTGGACGGTGGGATAGTACGAAGAAGTTCCTCAAGAAGAACCAGCTCCGTGACTGGCTTCGTGTCGTCTCCACCTCCAAGGGTGTTTACCAGCTTCGCTTCTTCAACGTTGTCAACGACGCTGAGGATGACGATGAGGAGTAAATGTAATCAAAAATCCGGTAGCGAATTTGCCGTCTTTGTTTCCGATGACATGGAAAAGTGATGGATCTTGGGGTGTTTTGTAAAGAAGTGTTCGGGGATCTAGACTTGGAACGTCGAGGGAAGGGATGGTGGTGAGGGAAGGTCTGCGGGATGATATTTGTATGCTGTTCATGATGGGAGCAAAATCAAAGTCGTCTTGTTGAACAAAGACAAAGACACAACTTCTGTTTGCGTTGCCGGTGATATATTGTGTATCTTGGAATTC